CGATATAGGGTATTTATTACCTTTTTGTTTTCCATTCAACCTCTTTTTACATATACAAGGCAAGAAATTTGAATGAGTCAGACTGAAGTCGTTTTAAATGCGCAGATTGGTGTATACATCGCGTGCGGACACGAAATCTGCTTTTTGTATACTATCATGCATACCATCGACAGGGGCGTACCTTGGCACATTTTTTAGTTCACACAAAGTAGAATATTTGGGCAAAAGAGTCGTTAGTACCAGGGGATAAGTGTAGAACTGGCAGTGTTTTATCAGCTATGAAATGTTATAAAATTAGAATTATATATATTTTCATATAAAGGTATGAGAACAGTTATAAGTACTAATGAAAAAAATACATGTATATAGGCTTACTTGTACACTGCTTTAAATATTTCAAATGTTTCAAACTTTTGCGAAAACAAAAAAGGCAATCTATATCTTTTGTTATTAAGTCTGGATTTACTTCCTTCTTTAAACAAGGTGTTTTGTACGTGTGTTGTTATGTTTGAAACTTAAAAACAAGATATAATCAAGGAAGATATCATAAAACAGACACAATAGCCTGTCTTTCGTTAGTGTAACAATAAACTATAATATATTATAAACTTTTTTGTATCGTGTGACAATTAAGATCCCTTAAAATACTTTTAAACTGCGTGTTATGTGAATGTTAATGAATTGCTTCTTTTTAATGGCTTTTTCTTAACTTTATCGCTTCAGTTTTCAGCCGATATATTAAACATAAAGACTGTAAAGTTATTTTGTCCTTTGCACATTTATAATAAGGTGATCCTCAAATCAATTAATTGCTATCTAATGTCTCTAAAGCGGAAAAATCTCAACAGAAAAAGGAATACCTTAAAAGAACAACACTTGTCCTGTTGATAGTGGGTATCCTACGATGGTCTTTTGCTAATGTTTTCTTATTTTTTAGAATGAGGCACCAACTTTGCATAACATATCTTCGAATCAACCTTATGTTATAAAGAAACAAATATAGAAATCTAAGCAGTGGAACTAAGGATGAATTAAGGGGAGTAATTCTATACAATATCATTCTAAAGATGTACCGTGGTATTAATAAATAAGGGAAGTAAATTCTGCTGAACATAAAGCAAGGTTCGCATATAACATTTATTGGCTACGGAGTTGTCTCTCTTGTCATAAACTGAATTTTACTGTTTTCAAAAGATTTAAATTTGATTTATTTCTCAATCAAAAATCTGTTTAGGTCGATCCCAGAACAAACTGTCTGTGTTTGTGTTTGCTTAGATACTGACAGTTCTCATTTAGTGTTTCTATTGCATTAATATCATACGTTAGATATATTTACTATAGCAATCAGTTTACATTTTAATACCCTCGTTCATTTATTTTTAATTTTGATAATTTTGCACATTTCGTAAACATGTTATAACTCGCTAACTTAAATATATTTTGTTTTATTAATAACTTTTATACTGCTTTGAGTGTGACACGTTATATAAATATCATTAACCACTGAAGGTAGGAACTTGCACTTTACACAGGCCCATATTTTTAGTTCACAATGAAGACCCAAAAAGCCTTTTGCATTTGGTTTCACTATATATAGTTCATTTGTGAAAGTTCTTGTTTTAATATAAAGGTCTGCTTTCTTTGGCACACCAACACAATTAAGGTCGTATGAAAGATGATGTTTGCTTACCTCGGGTGTTACAAACTTAAACCAACACAAGGGGTCAAAACCAGCTCTTAATATATAGATTCCACTTTTCAGCATCATGTGCGTATGTTTCACAATTATTAATTTAACATATTGTACATGTTTAAATGTTAAGTTGTACTTAAGCCGATGCTAGGGTACGTAGACGGTTTATCACATTAAGCACTGCCATTCATAAAAAGGATCTTAAAAGAATCTCGTCTGGTTTTTCTAGCAAGCTCATAATGCTTTTCTTTTGGATAAAGGATACAATCTAGTTGCTCTAAACATTCAATGGGTACTTGCTCTTCTGCAAGTAGAAAATGCCCGTTTCAATTATCAATTAAGTATTTCTGAAAAATAGACTCCTATATTAGTCGCTAATTAACTTGTCAATGTTGTGTATAACATATTTGATTCAATATGACCGACAATTTAAACTTTCGACCTCAGAGTCGATAAGATGAAATATATAGGCCTGCATTAAAGAATAAACATAACATTTGGTAAAAAAGTTTATTCAGTTTTGTTTCGGACTGAAAGTTGAAAGTAAAAAGAAATCAAAACATATTTTTTTTGAATATTCGTATTCGATGAATATTCGGTAGTGTTTCGAATATAATTCCCGACCAAAGTTTATATTAATTTCTTTCGAGTCCTCTTCCTGGAACCAATCCGTACTGGAGTCATATGAAGGAACATGACCGTGACCCTATTAGGGCTCGAACACATGATCCGTCAGTTGAGATTCAGACACCTTTACCACTAAGCCACCACTCCCATTTGACCAAACTGCGCTTAATTTCATTGGAGCTGTTCAGCAGATTGTCCTTACGGCTGTCTTGTTTTTAAGGAATTAATTTTAGTTCCATAGTGTAGGAAGCTATAAGCTTATAGACACCAACCAGTACTGAGCAATGAGTGTAAAGTTTCTTCCACTCGGCCATGCCGCCACTGGCAAGTCTTATTGAAAGTTTTCATTCAGTCGCCTTTTCATAACCAAGTGTCTCTGTTACCTGGAATAATGCTGAAAGGGGTATCACGACAGCTGGTAAACTGTTTCACATTTGGACATTGTCCGTGTGGCAGTGATCAAACGTTTGATGTAGGCACTTACTTACAATTTACATCAGCTTGTTAGCTATGTAAGTTTAACTCAGGAAATAATAATTAACACTTTTATAATATATGAATTACATGAACTTTATTAATTTACATGGTGTTGTTACCAATAGTAAAAACATTTTTATATGCACATGGTAGAGTTTTTATACAGAGAAAAGTAAATGCATTTAACCACTAAGTACATTGTTATTTGAAAGCCTAAACGAACACATAAATAAACATAGAATCGGACCAAAGAAAAGTACAGAAACAAGTACGGATATGTACAAAAAATCAAAAATCTTGTTTATAGATGTTAAAATAAACAAATTTTTAATGTTATAATAAACAAAAACAACATCACATTTGCTTTGTAGTAAAATCAATATGCTTGTTAAAGCAAATTACAGTATATAGGTAAATTTGGTATCCAAATGTACAAAAATATATTATAGCTACAATATGTTTTACTTTCAAGCGAAATTTAATTATTGTCCAACAACATTGACCTGGCACTCTTGCATTTGACCATGTAGTCGGTATATTCCGTAAACGTTACGATCTACTTGTAAAGCGATATAAATGTTAATATGCAATTATTAACATCATGTAAACTGGTAGGTTTGAATCCCTATCAGCGATTTTGTTTGTTTTTTTGTTGTTGTTTTTTTGTATTATCAAAAAAATGCAAATCTCTTAAAACTATTGCAAACCTTTTTGTTGTGCGTGCTATCTGTGTAGTAAATGTCTTTATAACGTGTATGCGCTAATGCATAGATTTGATAATGTCACAAAGAGAACCATTGAAAGATACTGTATTGAAATAAAAAAATATAAAAACAGACCTAAAAGGTATTCTAAAAGCAGTTGTAGTAAAACGATTTCAAATTAATTCTTGCAAGTAAATTAAAAAAGAAAAATAACGTGGTGTTGTTAAGGAATCGAACCAGAGTCCTTCAGATCGGTAGTCCGAGATCTTTACCAATACACCACACCTCACTGACGAGTGTAGCTAGCAAATATATCGATATATTCAATAGATAGTGGTCAGTATTTATTCATATGACCTTTACGAAAGTTAATGAAGGGCCAGGTCAATATTGTTGGACAATACTATCAGAACAATGTTTACGTTTTGAAAGGTGTGAACAAATCTTATTTACAGAAAGAGCAAAAATAATGTCCTTGACGTTATTTACATGTAAAACAATGTTCTGATTATTATCATTGAACACGGCTTAATTACATATGTGATTAAAGCGTAAAATTACATATGTGATTAAAGCGTATATAGAACTTTAAATTTTATCAGGAAAACAATATCAACCATTAACCTGCTTAATCTTTGTAACGGGTTTGTTCTAGCTTTGAATTTGGAACAGTACGTTTAAATTTTAAGGGAGTTGAAGGTATTTCATAAACAACAGTCGTACAACGATATCGGACCCTTAAGTTGATTGATTCTTATTCATTTCTTTAGTATCAAAAATGTAACGTAGGCCGTGTGACGTATACTGATATAAGCAAAATGTAAAGATGTTAACACAATTAGTGTACCGAAATACACTCATTTTACAAACAATTATTTTTGCAAATTGAATTCGATTTAACGTTTTGTAAAAGTGTCTAAATGCCTGACCTGAACATCCTGAAATAAGTTGAATAAAAAAAAATCTACCATTTTGGCGTTTTTGTTCTGAATATTGTTCGTGAAAGTAGAAAGTCCCGACCACAGTAACCTGTATTTGGTCAGTGCGACAGTTTACCATTATATAACACTGAATACCGTAATTTGCCTTTTCTATAATCCTAACCATGACTTTAATTACATGTAATTAGCCGTGTCCTAACGTGTAGCAAATTTATCACCTCTTTGAAATTTAAACTAGATATCGTACATGTACAATGTATGCATGGAAGGATGTATTTAAAAAATTCAAAACTAAATTTTGCTTTTATGTTGATAATTTTAACATTGATTTCCGTTAAAGTCTGTTCATTTTCCATTCTCGTTAAAGTTTAGAATATGTTGATCCTAAATGCTTTAACTTATTTCACAAATTGAGTAATAGGATGATGTACAACTTTTATCATGCCACTTAACGCCGTTACTGTATGAAACAATAGCCAAACAAAGTTCATCTGATCTGTTGTTTGGCTCATTCTTGAACCACTTGAAGAATCCTTTTTGAGATCCATATGTGTACTCCTATGGAGAACTAACATGTTTACGCTCTCCGTCTATCCAGATTCCTATGCCATAAATGAAGCCTGTAAGGAGACTGTCCACATCATTTAACTTCATTTCAGAGTCAATATTAACTAGATGACCACCATCTGTCTGACACTGCTGCTCTGCGGCTTCTTTTGGTCCATATTTGTCAGCAACTAACTTCATACAAAATCCATTCTTTGTGAGATTATACCCATTAGGACAAGTCATATCCATGATACAAATTCCAAACTCTTTCTTTGTTTCGCTGTTGGTGTCTATCTTACAAATTGTCATATTCACATTGCATTGACGTGTCCTGAATTTTGAACCGAACTGACCAAATCGTGCTGTGCAACTGGACCACACCGTCCAGTCTGAACATTGATGAGATTCGCACATTTTTTCATCGATTTTTTTTCGATATTGTCTATAGTCTTTCCTATCATTTGCAACATAGGTAATTTAAGTTTCTTTCCCATCTCTATTAATTTCTCACCGTTCAAATCACCAAAATTAGTACCATTCTCATAAGAGAAAGGTGCACATTTAATACCCGAAGCAGTTAGATAAAAATGAACAAGTATCAACACGATTTTGTTATTGTAGCAACCCATTTTGCTTACTTTAAGAATTGGTATTATTTAAACTCAACTCGCCTAGCTATTTCAAGTCATAGATGAGTTTGAGAGCGTGAGATTATATTTTTAAGATGAACAAATGATTGTGAATTTACGGGGCGTAGCAATACAGTAAATTATATGCCATTTCTATTATGGCATCATTTATTATTCCACATATCATCATTTCAGCTTGCTATTTAAGCAGCTGGCATCCAGATGCAATGGAATTTTCATTGAAAATTTGAAAAAGTATTAAGAAGTAAAATATTTTCAAGTGATCATAGAAAGTAATTTACACATTGCAATCAACACTATTAATTACATAAATTACCAAATAAATGTCAAAAATATGGAAAAAAACAAAACAACAACAACGTTACTGCTTTAGTCATGCAGTAGAAATATTGCAAGATCAGTCATTCATTGCATGCAGCGTGGCAGGTTGAATTTCTTGGAATTCTTTGGCTCATCTGAAGGCATGCAACGTTAATATTCCTGCTCAAATGTCATTGTTTCTTATCGAACACAAATCATTAAATTGTTTTAATGTTAGCTTTGTGATAATCCGATGTAATATGTAGCATAACTTTTAATGGTTTCAACGTTTCGAACCAAAAACACTATACCAAAATGACTTTGACTGTTTGCATTTTACCATATTGGGACCGTTTTGAACAAAAAAAAAAGAAACGGTTTGACTGTATATTTATGGTTTTTATATGAAAATTCTGTACCATCAATTGACTTACCTTAGCAACAAGTATTAAAGTTTCATCACAACCACTGACTTGCAAACCAGCCTGTACCGAACACCAACCTTTAACTAACATAGCAAACATTAACTTACAATAGCAAGTTCTGATTGGCATAGCAACTATTGACTTTCCATAGCATCTTAAGACTTCTATAGCAACCCTTTACTTCCCTTGGCAACTAGTGACTTCCATTCCATCTTTTTTCCCCCTTTGCAACCAGTGATTTTCATAGCAACCATTGGTTTTTCTTAACAAACAGTAACTTGTATAGCAGTCTTTCACCTTACATAGTAACAAGTGACTGTTATTACCTTTCTTGAAAACCAGTCTTTTTATCTCTCTTGTGTGAGTATTGCAGACAACGATTTTTTTTCGACAATGAGTAGGCCTACAGTTTAACATGCCAATGATTTCTTTTTATCAACTGACCAAGATTTTGCCCAAGTGACCTGCTTTTTGTACTTCGAGCCATATCTGTTAAATTAAGAGTACATGGAGTAAATGGGAACCTTCAGATGCTGGACTTAAAATCAATTGAACTTGATTTTGTTTGGCTTTGTTACCTACGTGTTTGGAGTATGGAGCTTTAAAAAAAATAGGACATGGAACCGTTGATTATGTCGCAGTGAGTTATTTTTTATACCGAGAGCTTCTATTATGAAATTTAGATTATGTGCAATAATTTAGATGTTAATGTGAACTTCATAGTTATCAATATTAATAACTTTTTACCATTTAGAACCTTAACTGTCTGGTGAGCAATATAAAGCCTTCATGACCCTCTTATTTTCTATTCAACCTCTTTTTTACATATACAAGGCAAAAGTTGAAAAAAATCAATTTGAATTGGACATACTGAAGTCGTTTTAAATGCGCAGATCGGTGTATACATCGTGTGCTGACACTCCTGCTATTTGTATACTATCATGAATACCATCGACAGGGGCGTACCTTGGCACATTTTTAGTTCACACAAAGTAGAATATTTGGACAAAAGAGTCGATAGAACAGAGGAAAAGTGTAGAACTTGCAGTGTTTTATCAGCTATGAAATGTAAAAAAAATAGAATTATATATATTTTCATAATTATATAGGTATGAGAACAGTAATAAGTACTAATGAAAAAAATACATGTACATGTATATAGACCGACGGGTACACTGCTTTAAATATTTCAAATGTTAAAAACTTTTGCGAAAACAAAAAAGGCAATCTATCTCTTTTGTTATCAAGTCTGGAGTTACTTAAACAAGGTGTTTTGGACGTGTGTTGTTATGTTTGAAACTTAAACATCAGATATAATCAAGGAAGATATCATAAAAAGACACAAAAGCTTATATTTCGTTAGTGTAACAATACGCTATAATACATTATCAACTTCTTTGTATCGCGCGACAATTAAGGTTCCTTAAAATACTTTTAAACTGCGTGTTATGTGGATGTTAATGAATTACTGCTTTTTAAAGGTTTTTTTTTACATTATCGCTTCAGTTTTTAGCCGATATATTTAACAAATATTTGACTGTTAAGTTATTTTGTCCTTTGCACATTTATAATAAGGTGATCCTCAAATCAATTAATTGCTATCTAATGTCTCTAAATCTCAACAGAAAAGGGCATACCTTAAAAGAATAGCACTGGTCCTGTTGATAGTTGGTATCCGACGATGGTTGATAGATATTCTTTTGCTAATGTTTTCTTATTTTTTAGTATGAGGCACCAACTTTACATAACATATCTTCGAATCTATGTTATAAAGAAACAAATATAGAAATATAAGCAGTGGAACCAAGGATAAATTTAGGGGAGTAATTCAATACACTATCATTCTAAAGATGTACCCTCTAATCCTGACAATGTGGGATAAAACACACGTATTCGTATATATTACTATAAAAAAATAAGGGTGGTAAATTCTGCAGTGCATAAAGGTAGGGCACGTCTGTCATATTAATGGGCTATTGAGTTGTCTCTTTTGAAAAAAAGAACAACTGAATTTTACAATCTGTTTTAAAAAGAATTAAATGTGAATTATTTCTCAATCAAAGATATGTTTTGGTAGATCCCGAACCAAACTGTCTGTGGTTTTTATTTGTTTATATAATAACGGTTCTCATGTAGTGCTTCTATTGCATTCATATCATACGATATATTTACTATAGCAAACAGTTTACCTTTTAATACATTCGTTCAGTTATCTTTAATTTTGATGATTTTGCTCATTTCGTAAACATGTTATAACTCGCTATTTGCTTGGCCGATGTCGTATGAAAGCAATTTTGGCATCCCTCCGGTGTTACAAACTTAAAGCAACACAAGACGTCAAAACCACATCATAATATGTAGATTCCACTTTGAAATCTGCAGGATCATACGTGCCTATGATCCGCAATTCTTAATTAAACACATTGTACATGTTTAAATGTTAATTTTTACTTAAGCCGATGCTAGCTATATATAGGGTGCGTGCGCGTATATCATATTAAGCACTACCATTCATGAAAAGAATTAAAAACATTTTTAACTTTGCAATATCGGAGGTTATTGATGGTTTCATTTTTGTTTGAAGACAGCATCTGGCCTGGTTTTTAATGCAAGGTCATAATGCTTTTCTTTTTGATTAAAGATACAATCTAGTTGCTCTAAAACATTCAATGGGTACTTGTCTGCATGTTGAAATTTTCCGTTTCAATTATCAATTAAGTGTATCTTTAAAATAGACTTTCATATGAGTCGTTGATTAACTGATCAATGTTGTGTATAACATATTTGATTCAATATGGCCGACAATTTAAACTTTCGACCTCATAGTCTGAAGACATGAAGATGAAATATAGTCATTGCATCAAAGAATTAACATAGCATCTGGTAAATAGTTTATTCAGTTTTGTTTAGGATTGAAAGTTGGAAGTAAAAAAAAATATAATAAACATTTCTTTTTTTACAATAATTCGTATTTTTTTCAATGTTGGATTATTCGGTAGTGTTTCGAATATTCAAATATAATTCCCGGCGCTAATTTATATTTATCACTTTCGAGTCCGATTCCTGGAAGCAACTAGTACTGATGTCTTATGAAGGAACATGGTCGATTAGAGCTCGTACCCATGATCCTTAAGTTGAGAGGCAGACACCTTGATCACTAAGCTACCACCCCACTTTGACCAAACTCCGCTTTATTCCATTGGAGTTGTTCAACACACTGACAAGTGTTATTGACAAGTCTTATTGAAAGTTTTTATCAGTAACCGTTGCATAACCAAGTGTCTCTGTTACCTAGAATAATACAGAAAGAGGTATCACGACAGCTTGTAAGCTGTTTGACATTTGAACATTGTCCGTGTGGTAGTGATCAAACGTTTGATGTAGGCACTTACTAACAGTTTACATCAAGATGTAAGCTATTAAATTTTAACTCAGGGAAAAATGATAAACACTTTTATTATGTACAAATTACATTGACTTTATTAACATGGTGTTGTTACCTGAAGGAATTACATGTCTATGCATATGATAGAATTTTTAAATAGAGCAGAGTTAATGCATTAAATCACATAGTACATTGTTACATGAAAGCCTTGGTCGAGCACATAAATAAACATCATTGAATCTGACCATAGAAAAGTACAGAAACAAGCATGGATAATTATGTACAAAGAATAAAAATATAAATCTTTTTTTATAGATGTTATAATAAACCAATTAAACAAATACAACCTCGCACTTGCTTAGTAGTTAAATTAATATTCTTGTAAAAGCAAACTACAATGTACACTGTTTAGGTAAATATGGTATAAAATGTTCAAAAATATATATATTATAGCTACAATATGTCTTACTTATAAGCGAAATATAATAACTATCAGAAAATGTTCTCGCTTTGAAAGGTGTGAACATACTTATTTTTCTCCTATACGTTATTTACATGTTTAAAACAATGTTATTGTTATTATAGAATACAAGTATGTTATTAAAGCCCTGCATAGAATTATAAACTATATCCTTGAATCAACCCTTAACCTGCTAAACTTTTGTAATGGATTTGACAAGCTTTGAATTTGGAACAGTACGTTTAGGGATTTCAATGTATTACCTGAAGTTGCGTAATTTTTATTTATTGCCATGGTATTAAAAAGGCCATGTGTTGTATAAAAAATGTTTAAATGTTAACAAAACAGCCGAAACTCAGAGCTTTAAAATGCACAAGTACATTCAATGTGCCAAAATAAAATCATTGTTGCAAATTGAATTAGATTACATTTTTCTTAAACGTGTCTGAATGAATGACCTAGACATCATGAAATAAATTGAATAAAGAAAAAATAAAATCTACCAGTATAGCGTTTTTGTGCTGAATATTATTCGTGAATATAGAAAGTCTGGTGATGCAGCCTGTATTTGGTCAGTACGACAGTTTACCATTATATAACACTGAATAATTTGCTTGTTCCATTGTCCTAACCACAGCTTTAATTACATGTCATTAGCCTTGGAAAAACATAGCACATTTATCTCCTCTTTGAAATTTAAACGAGGTATAATGATTGCTCAATGATATCATGTATGAATAAATCGTCGAAACTAATTGTTTGCTTTTTTGTTGATAATTTTATCAGTGATTTCCCATAAAGTACATTTTCCATTCTCTTCAATGTTTACAATATGTTGATACTAAATGCTCTTACCAAATTTCACAAATTGAGAAATATTGGCCTACACAGCGTATATCAAACCACTTAACGCCGATATTTTGCTCATTAATAGCCAAACAATGTTCATCTGATGTGTTGCCTGGCTCTCCCGGGTACCACTTGAAAAATCCGTTTTTAGATCCATATGTGTACTCCCACGGAGAACTAACAGCTTTACGATGACCGTCTATCCAGATTCCCCCTTTTGAATTCCAGCCTAGTAGAAGACTACTAACATCTGCGTATTTCAATTCAGAGTCAATATTCACCAGATGACCGCCATCTTTCTGACACTGCTGCTTTGCGACGTCTCTTTTCGATCTTTTGTCTGAATAAAATTTCATGCAAAACCCATTCTTTGTGAGATTATACCCATTAGGACAAGTCATACTCATAATACAAATTCCAAACTCTTTCTCTGTTCACAACTTGTCATATTTAAATTGCATTGACGTGTCCTGAACTTTGAACCGAACTGGCCAAATTGTGCTGTGCAACTTGACCACATCGTCCAGTCTGAACATTGATGAGGGTCACAATTCTTTTCATTGATTTTCTTTTCATTGATTTTCTTTTCGATATTATCAATTGTCTTTCCTATCATGTGTAACATTGGTAACTTGAGTTCCTTTCCTATAATCATTAACTTCTCGCCATTTAAACCACCAGCATTAGTTTCTTCCCCGTCAGACAACGGTGCACTCTTTACACATGTCGCAATACTATTGAGAATAACTAATAATACAAAGATTTTGTTCTTGTTACAGTTCATATTGCTTATTTAACGAAATTATTTTACCTAGTTCCAACTTCTCTAAGCAATCTCTAGTGTAAGTCTGAGATAAATTTGAAATATCTTCAAAATGATTTATTTGGTCTGGAAATTACGTGGCGTAGCAAGACTGTCAAAGTGCCAATGCTTATTTTTTCATTGTAAAGTCGAGCTGAATGGACTATATATTTCAAAAGATTGACTTTTATTATGGTGATAGACCAACAGTTGATAAGAAAAATCTTCAGGATAAAATATTAAATCTGCCTTAAATATAACAAGGACTGCTCCCACTCTTTTTAGTTTAAATTTAAGGTTAAAGTGTATATTCTGATTTATATTTACATAAATTTCGTTGGGCCAAGAGTTATTTATCGTCCATGTGTCGTAAATTACAAAAACTGAGGGGAATAATGACGAAATGTTAACTTAATTTGACTTTCACATTTTCACTAACTATATACCATTGAATTGGAATAATGTCACTTTATAATTCAGATTCGATGGAAATGATATGATTATTTTTCTCTCGCATTTATTTTTCCTATGTAATCTAATTTTGATATAATGGTGTAGCCACGAGTGAGACTATTACATCAATATGAAGGAATGAAATATTATTTGTTCTTTTATACTTTTTAATAAATAAAATTAAATTCCATTTTAAGCCGCGAAACGTAGCTTAAAGGGGCTAAGAGTGAGGTTTGGTGCAACATTAACCGGTTTAAACTCCCCAGCAGTTACTGTGCTGCTGAACGTTCCAAGGCGGCGCCCCTCTGTGTTCCTCATATGTTTGTTTTTGTTGTTTCATGCTGTTTTGGTGACACTTTTGTGTCCCTTGTTATTTTCTCGTCTACGGTTTCTTTTACTTTGCCCCTAGTTTTTATTTCATTTAATTACCCCCCCCCCCTTCCCCGGGTCTCCTTTCCCCTGTGTCCTTTGACTTTATTGGCCTATTAATCAATCATTTATTTGTTTTCTATGAGTTCCTTTCCTATCAGTTACTATTTTTTTCTTCTTATGTATGTTTTTAGTGATTAACCTGCCCATGCTCTTCCTTGTGTCCTGTCCTGTTTTTGTTTGGGGTCCTCCTTGACTCCTTGCCACAGGCTGTTGTTGCTGGATCGTGTTGGGGCTGCGTTCATTGAACGCCGCCTTTCCTTGTTGATCTTGCTAGCATGGGGCACTAATAAAGTAGTCTTCTATGGCTACCATTGCTCTTTTATCATAAGAAGATTTGGTTTTATATTGGGTGGTAAAACATGTATAGGAATTGAGGTTTAAACATGTGTAAATTGGGTTTTATTTCGGTTGCATTTATACTGCTGATATTGGTGTTTATACATGTGTAGATTGAGCTTTTACATTGGGTGCTAAAATATTACTAGATATTAGTGTTTATACATGTGTAGATAGGGTTTTACATTGGGTGCTAAAATATTATTAGATATTGGTGTTTAAACATGTGAAGATTGGGTTTTACATCCGTTTGTGATATTGCTGATATTGCAAATATTTTGTTTTTTAATGCAGGTTGGATTTTGCGATTTTGCATTTTATCACATACACATTGGTGTATGCAAAGAGTGCTGACATATAACTGCTCTTAGTCTTTAATCATGGGTAGTTTGGTTCGAGTTTTAACACTTGATGTTGACATTTACCTTAAATTTGTTTTGAATCTTGAGCAAATTGATATTTACAGTAGTAGCTGACATATTGGTTCTATTAGTTTCTATAAGTTCTAATTATTCGTGTGCAGGTTGGCATTAGTTGCTGACAGATTACTTCTGTTAGTCTCAGCCCATGTGTAGATTACAGGCATATTGCTGATATGGTGGTGTTTTAACTTGTGCCAATTTGTGTTTTCCCTTGGTGCTGACACATTTCTGCTTTGGCCTATCTAATTGGTATCTAAATCCGGTTTTAACATACGGCTGCTATTTGTCTTTAATTTGTTTAAACATCGGGTGCTGACATGTAGCTGACATAAGTCATTTATCATGTACAGATGAATGTTTATATTGGGTTCTGAAATATTAATGACATGAATTTGGCTGTGTTTGTATGCAATGTTTTATTTAAAACATTTTCCATGCATTAGCTACGCACTTGCAGCAATTCAATTGGGATGAACATAGATCTGGAAAGTGGAGGTAATCAACAGGGAATTTCAAGTACACCTGTGTATTCCGTGATAAAAGAATGTTTACGGAATAACTATTATTTACGAATTTCGATTAAGGTATTCCACTGAGAAAACTGTCTTTAGATTTACCTCGTATTATACACCTGTACCAAAACATTTGGCTGGTTCTATCATTTTCCCTCTACACTTTTTTTAAATCTCAGAATTGTTGAAAGATTATTTTTATCCGTTGTGCATTTAAAAGTGGAAGCAGTACCTTAATATTTCTGTCAAGTTTCCAAATCAAATTAGCTACCATATCTCATCAACGTAAACATCTATATCTTGAAACCTTTCCAATGAACACGTTTTAATACGTTTCAAAGAAATGAAACACGAGGTCACGAAATTGCCACAGTAATATAGAATATCATCGCCTGCTTTCTGTTGATATATCTGGCTCAAGAGTTACATTTGTCTATCAGAAAATAAAAGAAATATAGAATAATAGTTTCAGTCCTATAGTTCTGTTACTAATAGCCAATATGTAAAACACCCTTCACAAGTTATGACACAAAGTACAAAAAACTGTTCTGAAAAATTTAGTTTGAATTTTATATTACATAAACAATCTTATTTTTGATTACTTTGTCTTAATCTGATTTTTTCTTCTTTTAATTTAAGCACTTCAAAAAGTAAAGATTATTAACCTTTTTGTAAACTTTGTTGTGTACCAATCTCCAATAGCGGATAATTTGTGCAAACTAAAAATTAAAAACAACAACAAACGAACAAACAAAACTAACATAATATAAGTTATGTTTTAATATTGGTTTAGTTGCATTGTGGTCAGCATTACTCAAGTTTAGTAGCTTTTGGTCACGTGACTTTTCTAACATAATGAAATATCACAAGATATTTTGTTATATTTTGACTAACACATATTTGTTTAATATTCAATTGTCTCATACAATTCTTATGATAAAAGTGTTAAAGTGCAAGTAATGTGTTTTACTGTGTGTTTCAGGTGAGACTTGATTTACCAATTTTAACTTAAAGAACTAAAGTCTAAAAACGATTAATAATTTGCTATATTTTTGCACATGTAGATCAATTATTACTCGTAAGTACATAAGGTTTAGGGATCTGCTTTTTCTGTAATAACTAAACAAAATTGATACAGCATAAAAACCATATTGCACAAGTGGGGTTTTACTTTCCTTCTGTGTTGTAATAGTTTATGTATTAGTAATAATTTCTTGTTCATTTTATCATGTGATTAATCGTTTTGTTAATGACATTGTTTGATATCTGTAAATATATATGATATCTTGTAATAAGTAATGAATAAGGTTTTAAACTAGTACGTATTATCATTCATAAAAAAGGGAAGTGAATTCTGCAGTGCATAAAGATATGTCCCGTCTGATATATCTATGGGCTATGGAGTTGTCCCTCTTGTCTGAAATACAGATTCTTAAGCTCAAAAGATGCTTTCAGAAATTGCAAATAATTTAATATTGTAAAACATATTAAGCAAAGATAGTAATACGAATGCTATGTTTGCCGCCCTGATAGTTTTTACTTTTTTCTTCGTTTCTTCGATTGAACGAAGATGTTTATTTGAAGAAGTTCTAACACAATCATAATTATAGAATTGCCATTAATAAAAAAAAACTTACTCATTTAGGAAATGGTCAAAGGTAGTGATAAGCAGTTCAGAAACTAGTACTTGTATTTTGTACAAGAAATGTATTTGGGATAAGCTGAAATAATCGAGTTTTCTAATGAGCTCATATACAGAAAAATATATGTGTGAACAGTTTTGCATGGTATTCAATAACTTGGCCTTGTATGTTAAAATGTTGTATTTTGATTAAGCCGGCACTTCAGTGTTGTTATATTTTCTGGTCCTTCGGGATCATTGATAAAAGCGCTATTAAGTGTTGAGAATTGAGTACCGCTCAAGCCGGTGCTAGGGGGCGTGAGGGATGTTGCACTTATTCATTATCTCTCATGTACAGACTCAATCAAACCGAGTCTGCAATTCTTATGTAATTTTGTTGTGATTAATGCTTTCGAGGGATCACTTTGTTTCCAGAATTTTGTGGATGGGAGCTTGCACACGCTAATCATGAATAGGCTTTATCGAACCGAGCCTGCATCATTTTCAATTTTGTCTCATTAAGTGTTCTTTAGAGATTTCCTTTGTTCTATTTTTCTGTTGATGTGTTTAGTTTCGATAAAGAAACACTTTAAAACAGCAATGCCCGATTTAAAAGACCGAACGTTTAGTTTTCAAATTCAGAGTCTAAAGTCATTAGAGTAGAGATCGAGGTGACCTTATGACCGAGAATAATAATTATAACGAAGCTAGGTTGGTGGTTATACACAGGCGCTGATTGTTCGAGTACCTGAGCTCTTTCTCCACAAGTGCAGCTATAAAGGTCATAAGGACAGTTAAATACGTAACTTACAATGATTGTTGG